AGAAAATAAGGCAATCAAAGACATCTCTTATACTAGGTGGCATCTGAGCTGGGCCTTGAATGGTGAGGTCAGCCACAGGAAAACTTGCGGAAAAGCATTCCAGGCAGAAAGATGTGCAGAAGCCCTAATATCAGCCAATAACCCAGCTTATTCAAGAGGTTGATAGAAATCCAATGTGACTGGAGTTTGGAGCTCAGAGGAGGTGCTTCTGAGGAGGTCAGAGGCGTAGGAAGGTGATCGATGCTTTAGAGTCTTACTGGACCATGTAGACAGGTATAAACTATATTCTTATCACAATGGACAGCCATTGGAGTTTGATATAGGGAGTAGGGTGGAGTTGATATGATCTGGTCTGCATTTTTTAAAGATGACCCTGGCTATTGTGTGTAGAATAGTCTGTGTAGGGGTGCAGGAATGGAAACAGGGAAACCATAAGGAGGCTGCAGCAATGTCCAGGATTTCGGTGGTGGTGATTTAGACTGGGTTGGTAGCAAAAGAGATGGGGAAGTACTCCAATTGGGATTTATTTTCAAAGTAAATCTGATAAGATTTGCTGATGGTCCAAGTGTAAGGAATAAAAAAGAGAGAGAGAGAAGAATCGAGAGTGACACCTAGGATTTTGGCCTGAGCATCTGACTGCATGGCGGTGCCTTCTGATGCAGCCTCGGCTACCCTGTGGAAGATGTAGAAGAAGCCACAGGTTGCACTTGCATGTTAATGTCTTGAGGCTGCTGCTGGGTATTCTTGGGAGCTGAGACCATGCCAGTTACTGGAAGGGGTAAAAAGAGAGGAGAAAACACCAGCTCCACCCCGAGGAGTTCTCATCCTCGGTCATTCACTGGCATTAATGAAGCATGGTGGTGAGCCACGCCTGTGCTGGGCTCAGGGGGACAGACAGGGATGAGCCATGGGCTCAAAGGACACCCATTCAGGGTGAGAGATGAGCACCTGGGGAAGTAAATGCATTTCAAGCTAAGCTGAAGAGCCAAAGACCAGCCATCATAGAAACACAGAGGTGGAGGCCGTGAGGTGGAGGAAGAGTCTGTAATAACCAAAAATGAGCAAGGAAAGCAAGGAGACACCATGCAAAAGGTGGGACAACCCTCCAGCTGTCACACTGATAATCAAACGAATCACTTTTCCTAGACCCCCATGTTGGCCCCCTTCCCAAGATGGTTTATTATTATTATTATTATTATTATTATTATTATTATTATTTATTACTTATGGCCCCCTTCCCAAGATGGTTTATTATTATTATTATTATTATTATTATTATTATTATTATTACTTTAATCCTAAAAAAGCCATCCTCTTCATAGGCATGTTGTGGGCAATGGGGAGCTACCGGAGGAGGCAGGGAAGGGATGGAGGTAGCATTGCCCTTTTCCGTGGCCTGCAGGAAAAAGGGTCGAATTATTTAATCTGGCATTTGTAATCCTCCATGTCTGGCCCTTCCTCCTTTGACACTGAGCTTCCTGGTCAAAGTCCAAGCAGCATTTGCCTGGAACATTCCCACTTCCCAAACTGGACCCATGCTGCTTGCTCTATTTAAAATGCCTTCTCTCGCTAACCTACCTCATCGTGTCCACCCGGTAGGCCGACGCTGAGGGCCCTCTCTTCCATGAAGCCCAGTCTTCTCCACGGAAATAACCCATGCTGCTTGCTCTATTTAAAATGCCTTCTCTCGCTAACCTACCTCATCGTGTCCACCCGCTAGGCCGACGCTGAGGGCCCTCTCTTCCATGAAGCCCAGTCTTCTCCACGGAAATAACTCTCACCCTCCTCTGGGTTGCTTAATGCTCTGATTTTCCATTAGAGTTGTCACCACTTACTGCCTTGTGGTTCATTTATTTCTGTGCAAGTCTTTAGGACCCAAGTGTGTGAACTTCTGTCGGGTGGACACTTTCATCATCTTGGCCCGTCAGTGCCTAGAGCGTGCTGGCCCACACTAGGTGCCTGATATAGGTTGAATTAAGGGAAACTCATACCAGTCTCTTCCCTCTTGTTAGAATGGGTCCTTGATTCCATGCTGCTCACGTTGTAGAGGCCACAACATGAATTGTGCAAGCCGAAGGCCCAATCAGAGCAAGCCGCACCATGCCCACGTGGTGACAATAAGGACAGCCTGAGGGTGTCTGACTCCCAGTTTCCCTTGGCAGCCCTGTGATTATTCCCCCCCTTTTATAACCGCCTTTAGGCTTGTTCTTGCTTCCATCACCCAGGTACCCAGAGCCGATTAGAAGTTAAGCTTTTATAAGAACACCGGTGTGATTCTTCTTTTCTTCTCACTACATACCTGAAAACAAAAGGCTGTCAAAACAGCAACCAGCAAAGGGAGGGAGGAGTAGGGAAGAGACCTGTCTTGCTTGTCTTTTCTCCTTTGTGAGTTGGCAACTGAATGATTCCATTTCGGGAGTCGTGCCCATCCCTATCTTCCTTACCCACCCCAGAGCTCAGCCTCCAACGTGAAATTCTATTTCAATGCTCCCACAGCTCTGTCTCTGTCCTCCTCCCTTCCTCCTTCCTTTGCCTGTCCAAAGCATGTAGGGGCAGAGTTCTACACACGTGGATAACTTCTGATGCTGGAGACAGCCTTCTCTTAGGTGAAATGACCATCACCTATTTGCTCTAACTCAGCCAACATTTAGGACATTTTCAACATCCACTTCCCAAAAAAAGCCTGATATCCCACCTTTAGTGGCCCATTTCCCTTCTGATAATTATCACTGTCTCCAAATGGTCTTTGGAAAACCTAAGCCCTCTGGAGCAGAGTAAATTTGTCAGTCACTAACATCCTAGGGTAAATCTCACTCATAGAAAAATCCGTCCTTTCTCCCCAATTGAGAACATCTTAGGAACTGAACCCCAATATAAGGCAATAAAGATAAGAACTGGGACATGTCTCTCTACCTTATCTTAACTTGGTCCCTTTTGATAAACATAAGAATCTCACACTGTCTTTAAGGTTTGATATTCTAAAAAATTTTTTTTCATTTTCAAAACATAAAATTATATTTTCTCCATGCTGACAGTCTGACAGAGCTTTTGGGGTGGGTCAAGGGCTTCATTGCCTCAGGGAAGACCTACAGGGGAGGGAATTGTCCAACCCAGATGTGTCAGTGCTGGAGGGAGTGGGTACATGGGAAAGTGGCACCCAGAAAAGAGGCAGAGGCAGCAGGAATTGGAAGTAAGCAGCACCAGAGACATGTCTGCATGAGGACAGGCCCTGCTTGATGGCAAGACAGAATGTTAGGGAGGATGAAGTGGCTCCAGTTTGAGAAAGCAAATGCTTTCCACGTGTGGTCAGGCTGTGAAGATGGGGGTCAGGAAAGAAAAGACTACAAAGTGCCCATTCTAGAATAAAAATACCAACAGTGCCCCCATAAAGTTTTGGATAGTGCACGGCACTCTTTTCAAAGCCCTTTTACCAAGGACAGATCCAGGTTTCATGGGGTCTGAAGCCAAGGTCATTTGGGGGACTCTCTCTAAGAAAGAAAAAAACAAAATTATAAATATGAAATGAGAAATGAAACTGGATATTACTTAGGATGAGAAAAGAAACCAAAACAAATTGCAGATTATTAAAAAGCCAACAACTAGTGCAAACATCACAAAATCCAGACAAATAATCTAGTATTTTTTATTAATTAATTCCTACTAGATTCCATTATACTTGTTTTCCTTCACTTGTCGGCTACGTACTTTTTGATCATCCTTTAACATGGTAGTTATTTTATAATTTCATTATCTAGAGAAAGAACAGAGAGAGACTCAGTCTTTCCTCCAGTATGACTGATTAAAATTTGTTTCAGATGATTGATAAATTAGAAAAGTTTCTTTAGTGGTCACAAGTGATCATTGGGGATGTGTAAATTGTGAGGGTTATAAAATTTGGGGAACCCTTCATCAAGTTTTCTTCGTAATATTCCTGGACATTTCAACTTTCCTTGCACAGTGAATAATTTAAATTCTCTTTGAATTGACTCTCATGAGCCAGTTTGTAGTTGACATCCTTGTATAGTGAACTATGAATTCTACACTGGACATTGCACTCCCTGCAGTGATACTAGGAGAATCAACACAGTATGGCAGGAGCATTCTTGGAATTCATTCCTATACCAGAATGGCTAGCAATAATTTAACCAGATGCTGAAGAGACAACAAGCCACATAAACATATCCCCCTAGAACTAAACTAAATATATCCCAATTCAACTTACCTTTAGTTAGAACAAAAACAAAACAAAAAAAAAAAGTGGCCACTCCAGCTTCACCCTACACAAAGGAAAAATGTGACCCAGAGGGAGTTGGAAGGGAAACAGACAATATCTCAACTGATTGTAGCTTTGTAATTCTCAGCAGAACGTGAGAGATTGGAGCTAGTCCAAGGCAGGTTCTGCCCAGCACTGAAGGAAGCAGTTTCAGTCCTTGCTTCTTTCACTTAAGAACCCATTTTCCCAGCCCTTACTCTCTCCTGAGCTCTTCTAAGTATCTGCAATACAGAGATGAGTAATTCATGTCCCGTTCACAAAGAAATGAAGAAGACAAGCACACAAACATAAATCACAAGACAGCTTGATGACAGCTCTTCAAGGCAGGCTGAAAATGCTAGGAGAGACACTGGAGGCTTCACAGGGGAGTCACTGAGACCCTGCAGTGTGAAGAGCTAATGTATCTCAATTCTTAAATCTGAGACACCGCTTTTTCCTTGAAGGATACACCTAAAGGGTTTGTGTTATTGAGGCCATGCACACAAAACCTAGGCCTGTCCCTTGTAAGTAGGGCAACTGTACTAATCTGCATAGACTGAGTCGAAGATGCTGTTATTTTGGTGTGTTGCCTGCTAAGCACCCAACCTGCGAATGACCCTGGACTGGTATAGCAGTGACCCCAGCCTTTCTTCAAAGCTCACATCCATAGGATCATTTGGACTCTACACTCTCCAGTGATTTGATCGCTCACCCCTGCCCTTCTCCTTCCCCAAGATAGATTCTATATTAATCAACTCAAAGTAGATGATATTAGGAAAGAAGTAGGTCAGGTCTGCAGACCCAAATCCCATCCAGTCTTTTCACAAAATCTTGACTAAAAAAAAAGTGGAATTGATATTGCAATAATTAAGAGCCAAATACGACTACCACTGGTGGCAGATAACATTTCACTTTCATTAAGCAATATAAAATAGACGTGAGAATTCCCGGCTGCCGCCCTGACACACCAGGCTTTGCAGAATGAATCTTAAATTGCACTATGTCAGTCAGAGCTCAGGAGTTATCAGCATCATTTAATTAACTTTTTTTTCCCAAAAACTAACACGTTGGAATAAAATATAAAAATGTAATCCCTGTGCAAACCCACCATTAATGATGGCCCCCGGCAGAGCCCGCTACACCTAAGCAGGAATCAGGGCATCAAACTCTCTTTGTCCCTCCCCTGCAGCCCCAACCCCCCTTTAGCTGGAAGGGAAAGAGGGATCAGGTGCAGGAGCTCCTTCCACCTTGGCCTGGAAGCCTCAAGAATGAAGAGCAATATTGAGGTGAAGCCTCAATAATAAAGAGCAGTTCTCACTTGAGCCCATAACGTCTCCTCTTCTCCCTAACGCTGTGTAACTTTCAGCCACTTTCCTGTCGAAATTGAAATGTGCTTTTTCCCTTAAAATAAAAAACAACAAAACTTTTACTGGCTCTCCAATAAGGAATGGAGTCTTTGGCTCCAATTGTGAGAGGACGTGATTACCTACGGGTTTCATTGATGGATGTTATCACAGTATTAGATGTTAACTGTGTCAAAAAATGAATATTTGGGGTCCCACTCTGAGTGAGATGGGGAGAAGGAAGGTGGCATGCAGCACGGACAGGAGGTGGTACTGACTCTCAGGGTTCAACAGAACCTTTGCCAAACTGCAGTAGGGTGTGGGCAGGGTCTCTTTCTTGGGTGGTACTGACTCCACCTGTAATGTGCCCATAGCAAATAGGTGGTACAGGTGTCACCACACTCCCTCCTACACCTAGGGCAGGCATTACCAGTGAGTCATGGTACGGTGTATAGCTGAGCTTGAATTGAGCTTCAGAATCCTACCACCACACTCTCAGCAGCCACTACCAGTCAGTAAGTGTTGGCACTCAAGATGTAACCTATGTGCCGTTCCCTCATCAGCCAGAAGGCCTATTTCACCTGTTTCCCCCAGGGTCATGTGACAGCCACATTCCTGATCAGAGAATCCAAGCAGTCTCATCCAGATTCCCCAATGTCTGGGAGGAGTCCAAAATCAGGGATGCTTCCCAAGCAATTGAGCCAGGAGCTGTCAGTTATAAGGGAAAAAAGAAAAAGACTGCCTTTTGCTGATCAGAGAATCCAAGCAGTCTCATCCAGATTCCCCAATGTCTGGGAGGAGTCCAAAATCGGGGATGCTTCCCAAGCAATTGAGCCAGGAGCTGTCAGTTATAAGGGAAAAAAGAAAAAGACTGCCTTTTTGGGCCCCTTTTATTCAAGAAACAAAAATGTTATGTTTGCTTTATCAATTCTTCAGCTAACTGTTTGTTCTTTTTTCCTTCTGTTTTCTTTCTATAAAGAAATAAAGAGTTTAAACATAGGTAAGATGAAGAACTCTTTCCCGTATCATTTCATACGGTTCGTTTGCTTTCCTTGTGTTTGCTTTTTTGTTTTGTGCTGCTTGTGTAATGTTGTATATTTTTATGAACCAAATATAGTAACTTTTTTATGTGCTAATTGTGTGTTGTGGATATGATAAGCTTTAGCAATTATGAAATGCAGTCAAAAAGCAACCAGAGAAGCTGACAGTAATTAGGATTTCCGGGAGATGCGAGCACATGGTAATGAACCCGCAGCGAACTTTTATCCCGACTGCTCAGTGTGGTCCATAATTGGGCTAAACAGTTGAGGCAAACTTCTGGCTTTTGTAAATGCTGGACTGGGTTCACAAAAGCTTTAATGAACTGGAAACGGGTCAAAAACTCATTTTCAACTCATTAATGATTTTTTTCCCCTGGATATATGGTCATTTAAAAAACAAAAGTTAATTGCCAATCTGCTGGTCAGAGTGAATCCAACAGTGGATGCATTGAGAATGATCATGGAGGCAAATCACTTTTGAGGAGTATGAAGGATGTAGACCAAGAACTTTTTGTCTAAATGGGCTTTATCATTCCATTGATCCAAGGTTATCATTTAAAGACACACTGGTACAGTTCACATGTAATGGGTACGACACACATATGTGTGCATACACACACACTCTGCAATGAAATGGGTGTAGTATGAGCTTCCTTGAAGAAAAGTAGCCTTCTTTTTATTTCAAAAAAGAGAAAAAACAAAGCAATTTATACCACTACTCACAGGAAGATTTCTCCTCACTCTTTGAAATGAAACATGGAAGGGGCTTGTTTATGATATTAGGTCAAAATGAGACAGAGTGGAGTCAAATTGTATGAGATCATCACAGTCAGTGGAAAGACCATACACAGGAGGAGTCCTCTGTCTTCTTTTCAGGCACCCCAAAATTAGCTTATTATATGGCACCTAATTTGAGCCAAATTTAAAGAAGCAGAAATGCCCTGGAAGAGCACCTTCTTCCAGAAAACTCACACACCCCATTGGATCTTTGCTACTGTCCATCTGACCTGAGCTTCTCTGCAAGAATCTTGGTTGGAATGGGTATGATGCCGTGGGGAAGAATGGTCCCCCAAGCAAGAACTGACCCCACACCCTCAACTGCCTGGTCTTCTGCCAGACCCTCTGAAAAGCCTCCTCGAATCAGGCTCCCTAGAAAGTCCAGAATTAATTATCTTGCTCATAGATAGGCACAGATGTGCAATGCCTTGATCCTTCCGTTGATCATGCCAGCTACTGTTCGTTCAGCAACAGAGTGCAGCATCTAATTAAGAAATGGCATGAATTTTTCCCTTTCTGTCCTAATTTGTTTTGCTTATATAGATATTCTCTAATGACTTAGCCAAAAAAAGAAGAAAGGATGAGGGAAGAAAAGAAAAAGAAAGAAAAGGAAAGGAACCCAGGTAGCCTACTCTTTCAAATTAGTTATCTAGGCTGGAATTTTAGAAAGACCTTGACTTCTAGTTCAATTATACATCTTAATAGCAACCTGGGGAGAAGCTGGAATTAAAGATGGTCTCGACTCAAATTGTTCCTAAAAATAGCTTCCTAGTTCTTTTTTACCTTAAATTGGGGAAGAACCCAAATGGTGGTGTTTTAGTTAGTAATTACCAGCTAATATCTACAAATGCACCCAACACTAACATCCCCCTCACCTTCCCTTCACCTCGCCAGCCCCAATCCTCCCATTGTTCCAAAGTACAATTGAAAAACAACAGGCATGCAGCACTGAAACCGAGTCTGCCACCCCGGGGGGGGGGGGGGG